ACCTCCATCAAACGGAAGAAAATCATCCCATCCTGTATAAAACATCATCAACATCACTAGCCGTTTACATATCAAAAGAGGCATTAGTATGAGTCAATTCAATTGCCTGAATAACATTGATACCATGGCACGCAGATATTGGTCTGCGTAACGAAGTGCGATAGGCATTTTTTTATATGAAGTACTGACATTATTTTGACTCACTTTATCAGCCCTATTATCTACGACATGACCTTTCCGGAAACCCTGTATAGTGATAATGACTTAGCTAGTGGTGGTGAATCATAATGTAGGGTGCACTGAATATTTAGTCATCTGTATAGTGACAGAACATTTTTGCTAAAACTACTGAGTTTTAGTGCCCGATGCAAGTTTTTTTTTTCGTGTATGCCATGCAAGAAAGTGACTAGTTTGATTTTGAGGAAACTTTTATGGTAAATAATGTGATTGTTTGTATACATCGTGTACATTTGGCATTTTTTTGTTGTCACGTTATTGCCTGTTTATCACTGAATAAATCAATGGATTATAGGCGTAATGCATTTTGGAGTTGTAACGTTAACAATAATATTAAATATTACCATTTGTCTTTTGAGATTTTCTGGAAAATGTCACATTTCAAAAAATCACATATAATTGCTGTTTTTTAGGAGTAACATCCCAAAATATTGTCATATATGATAAATCAAAACTGTACTGTACTGCAAAGTGATTCCCGAACAATTTTCAAGAAGCTTTGGACACTTTGGTATATACTCTGAACTGACAAGAAGTTTCTTCTCGCAGGAAACTAGAAGACAATTCCTCACCTTCAATAGCTAAAACTTTTTAAATTCGATGTTCTTAAAACTGAGGACATCATTAATTGTTCTCAACTTGCGATGTATACATAGTCTTTCAAGGATAACTTGACCCTTTGCTCAAAACTGGAGAACAGGCATTTGCCTAATGATGAAGAAATTGAAAACAGAAAAAGATATATTTGTTTTCTTCCAGTCATTTCAGATTTCTTTACTTCGTTGATTTCTTTCAACTTTTATATCCTTATTGCATAAAAAACACGATATGTTTGCATTAAAAAGAGTAGTGCATCCATGAGAGCATCTGATCAAAATGTCAGGCGTCAGCGGCCATCTTACCTGCCAATGACAGCCATCTTAGTGTGATGCTATCATAAATGCACTACTAGAAGGAACTAACCATAGTTATGGGCACAATATAGCTTTTCTCTCGATTCATTTCTCGTCTATCACAACTGTATGGATCATGGATGTGATTGATGACTCTGATGATGGAATGAATGACGAAGAAGTTCATGTTTCGGATGGAGTGATGAAAATGAAACGAATCACGTGATGGAACCAGCAATCGGTGGCGAAATGGAGTGACCTGTAGATTATATGTTCAGTAAAGATGATCGTTTAGAAATAATCAGAAGCATATGGATGTGCTAGCTATCTCTGAATATTCAAAATGACACAAGAAGACCAGCGTACGATTTTACCGAATCCAGTGACGTCATATGAGACGGCGAAACTGTCTCGGAAAATGTCTACCAATAAACAACTATATGCATATCCAGAAGAAGATTATAAGTAGGTCAATCGTCCCCTGATGAAGCTGTATATTTTGCATCTCATAAATACTAGTTGATTTTGAGAACCACTGGCATTTGGTTGGGCCATGTAGCTCATGGATGTGACTATAATATTCCTGTGTACGAAAAAAGATCCATTGATTTTTGGTATCCAGGCTGTATTTTTCGTACATAGAACTCTTCTATTTATTAGTCGCAGAAGCTGCAGGTTAACATTTCTGTACTCTATATAATACACAGAGAGAAACAGTTTTTTCTCAACCCGTATACATTTCTCTATGATTTCATGTTTTTTTCATGCACTATAATGAGTACTAAATGTGTACCTTGTAATCAAACTCAAAGAAAATGGTTCAGCAAACTCTACAATCCTCAACTCTAGACATGCACCTCGACATGCACTATATAAATTTTCTACATGCATCTATTGGTAGACTCATTTATATTTCTAATATATGTATAATCCCAGTGATGATATAATTTTTCGAATCAGACATTATATAAATTCTTATTGACACAACTAAACCATGCTGTGATAATGATGACTACATCCTCAGAGTAACTCGTCAAGAAGAGATAATTATTTTGCTTATTTCCTTTATGAAGAAGATAACACATTTTAAGGAGCTCTGTGGAACCGCTGCTAAATCGTCAATTGAAGAGGATTTTTTGGTTGAAACATCTCATTCATATAGTGTAGGTATAGGTTTGTACTTCGTTGGTATGTATGTACATACAGGCCATCGACCTTACGAGAGGAACACGTACAAGCCTACACAGCTCATGTGTGTTCTGTGTAGGCTTTGTTACTAACTACATACGCCACCTTCGGAGCAAAACTCTGTTAATTAGGACAAAACGGCGAATAGTGCAGAATCATCTACGAAAATTTAAATGTATAACTCTTTTTCTAAATAAAAATGTTCTGCTCTGCCAAGGATTCGAACCTAGCAACCTAGTCAAGCGCCCTAACCATTGTGCTATTCCGCCGTATATTCTATTCATTTCCGCATAAGTATCGTATGACGGTAAAATGGAACAAATTTTATGAAATAATAATAATATACCCATAACAACATGTGTCAGAGACTCTGATTAATAATCAAAACTCATAAGTAATTGTGAGGTACATACTTAGATGACAAAATGAAGAAAAGGGATTTATTCATGATGAGCGTGGCAACATTGCAGAGTTTCGTAGTAGACGAGCAATAATCGATGTAAGAGATGTCATCTGTCAATTTTATTGTTTTCAATGGATTTCCGGTTTTTGTGTGATCAGTTTTGGTGTTTCAGTAACTCATTCAGAATTATAAAACTGAATCAGACTATAGTGTGAATAATTTTGGTTCGGTAGTGTCTAATAACTAAATCAATAATTTCTATAGAAAAAAATAATATTAGTCCACTTTTTTTAGCGGCGAAAATTTCAGAAGTTGGCCAAATTTTAGTACGTTGTTTGTACATGTTTAGTGATGTCAAATCCAAGTTTTTGACCTCAAGGAGCTTGTGAAATAGTAAAAAATGAAGAGGTGGCGCGTGTCTTAAAATTTACGTTCTTCCTATGTATACACTCGAGATGTACTTTACATCACACATTTTTATATTCATGAAAATCAACACGAACTATGATTTTGTTGGCTGAGTTCATGCCAGCTGAGGACCATTCAATTTCTCAATTATCAGAGGCATACGGTACAAATTCAAGATGTCACATAGAGGTCAAATGTCAACAAAATGTGCAAGAACACAAAATTAAGACCAATAATTGCTTTTGAATGACGTTACACGTCTACATTTTATACATATAAATTGCTTAAGTTTTCTTATTTTCCAACAGTGAAAGTGAATTCTTGCACATTTGACATGCTGTCAGCTGATGTAATTGTTCACTGAATATAAAAAAATATAAGAAGACACTACAAAGAGGAGCCATAACAAGACTAAGCAAGATACAAAGACTTGGATGTCTAAGAATCACGGGGGCTATGAAGTCAACGCCAACCGCAGCCATGGAAACACTACTGGATCTGCCTCCCCTCCTGTTGATAGTACAGGGAGAGGTGAGACTTGGTGCCTTAAGACTGCAAAATACACTGGGCAATGTTAACATAGGAACAGGACATATGAGCATCGTCAGAATAGTGAACAGGGACATACTCAATATGAGAACAGATCACATTTCGAAACGATATATATTTGACACTCCATTCAGAGTGTCCATACCAGACAGATCTGAATGGAATGACGGAGAACTCAGCACCATACTGCATGGAAAGATCTGGAATACAGACGGGTCCAAGACTGCGAATGGGTCAGGAGCATGAGTATACTCCAAACATCCGGAGACTAGCCTCAGCTACTCATTGGAGAAGTATGCCTCAGTTTTCCAAGCAGAGGTGTACGCAAACGCAATTCTCCAATGTGCGGAAGAAAATAACAGGAGAGCTGTGGAAAACGAGCAGATCCGTATTATATCAGACAGTCAAGCAGCACTTAAGGCAATTGAGAGCCAGGAAGAGACATCTCGACTGGTATGGGATTGCAAGAGGGAACTGAGAACTCTGGCAGACCGGAACTGCGTCAAGCTAATCTGGGTGCCAGGTCATCAGGGGATAGCTGGCAATGAGAAGGCTGACGAACTTGCAAGAAGAGGGTCGGACAACGAGTCAGATCCAGGATAGACTCTTGGAGAACCAAAACGTACAGCACGAGTGTCAGTTAAATACTGGATTCAAGCAAAACATAAGAGCTACTGGGAAAACATCCCAAGAAACAGACATGGGAAATAATACATTAAGGAATCAAGTCATAAACGAACTGTAGACCTGCTCAACTTGAACAGAGCACAGATAAAAGCTGTTACGGGACACATGACTGGCCATGCGCCAGTAAAGGAGCATCTCGCCAGAATGGGCAGGAACAATGGCGACCCAAGCTGCAGACTATGTGGCAAGGAACCAGAAACAGTTGCACATATACTGTGCCGATGTGGACCGCAGAAGACAGAAGATTTTTGCGCAACCACCTCGAAAAACAAATTGGGCCAATTTGAACACAAATTGCCTGATTCAATTGATTACTCTTCCACGACTTTTTTATTCGAATGTCGTTTTCTCCATATTCTATGTCCAGGAATTGCTGTGAAGGTATGAAGAAGGATATCGAAATATGACAGTGAAAAATGAAGAAATCCGGAGAGAGGAAATCAAACTTACTTGAGCAAGAGACACTAAAGCTCGAATAGCTCGGATCATGATGCTCGCGACTGACAGATGAACGTGAAGGAAGCTTTTAGCGTTTGTCGTAAATTTGACGATGCGCGCCCGGTGGTCCGTCAAAAACCAGTGAAGTGCCTAAAAACCTTTACCTGTGAATAGGCGAATCGGGAAACATGTCCAACCCCTCCGACACCGACGAGCTCGGACTCGGCGTGGTGTCAGGCAAGCCGTTCCTCATCATCTCCACTTTCTTCTTCGCCCTGCCGCGCTTCTTCTCGAACTTGCTGGTCTCCATGGATGCCGCGCGCCGCCGCACTGACTTGCCAGGTTTCGCGTCCGGGTTGATGATCCACCAGGAGGATTTTCCGGTGCCCTCGTTTTGCACGCGCATGAAGCGGTTGTGCAGGGACAGGTTGTGCCTGATGGAGTTCTGGAAGAAAGAAAACGATGGAATAGATAATTTACACCACTAAAATAAATAGTGGTTTAACCACTCTGACTGCCATGTCAGTAATTTTTCACCGACAGCTTGATCTCGTGCTGAGCCGATGCATTTTCATTGGTTCGAACGCGTCAGGCCACGCGAAGTTTTCAGAGTAGAGGTCATCTACCCCCATTAAGCTAGCAGAACCACTTTGAATTTTTCAATTTTTTCTTCGGCCATAATTTTAGGCTAATTTAAGGCTAATTTATTACCCTATTGCCGAATTTATTGCTCTTCGATTTATGTAAAAAAACGTGGGTTCTCCTAGCTTAACATTAAGCTAGCAGAACCACTTCGTAAATAAAAGTTCAATCACAAAACTAATTATGCCATAATTTGAGGCTAATTTTAGGCTCTAATCCTAGCCCATTGCCAATTTTTTCGCACATTGTTTTTTTAAAAATATCATGGGTTTTGCTAGCTTAACCGTTAAGCTAGCAGAACCAAATCTCAAATAGAAGGAATATAAGAATATTGAGTACACCATAATTTAAGGCTAATTTTAGGCTCTTCATCGAACCTATCATCGATTTTTTTGTTAATCATTTTCTGCAAAAAATTTCCCAAATCCAACATGAACATGACAAATATTTTCTGAATATTTCCGAATCGCCATGTGATGAAGTATTTCTGCATCTTACATATTATGCATCACATTGCATAATAAATCGTAGTGACTATGGAAAAAATGCAAAAAACGGGAAGTAGGTTTTCATCATCGTCTTCCTACTTTACGCGCATGTATGAAATTGTTTAGTGAAAAGAATGTAGGTAGTTATTTTTTTTATGATGATATAATCTCGGATATAATGATGGCTCAGTCAATTCTGTGAGAAATACGCTTATGATTCCAGATATTAGGTATGCAAGATATTATGCTAATGTTAAATTAGCCTAAAATTATGGACGAAAAAAAAATTGGAAAACTCAAAGTGGTTCTGCTAGCTTAATGGAGGTGGAGCATCTAAGTGATCAGCATATTGCTGTTCAGACATTGTTAAGTCGTTCTGGTGTACAGAAGAGCATTAAAGGATTTCAGCTAAAATCGACCGACGTGGCCTGACAATTCAATGTTTCTCAATGTATATGAGTAAAAGCAGGTGAAAGGGTATGATATACTCCTATTAGTTATTAATTTATCGATGAAGTCACAGGGGTTGAAACATTTGCTATAACAGCAAAAGGATAAAACACCGGGAGCTAGAAAATTGGTTTAAAACCCATTAGTGCATGAAGTTACTTTTTTTCAAATCTCTATATTCTGAAGATGTTTACTCATTCAAATATACCCAAAGAATGATAACTCATGACGAATAATTTTTTTTAACAACAGTTTTTTTTTTATATGACACGTCCATTTTAATGGACTCTATGCAAATTCATTCATTGATGAAAGTGATCAGTAGGGAATTTCAGTATTCATTTTCATTCAAGTACATATCCAGAACATGAAAAACTCAATAACATCAATCACAATATTATTATTAATAATAATAATGATAATCATAATGAAAATTATACATCATGATGACTTGATACATTTTGAAGCATCTCTCAGATGCAGTCCTATTTTACATATAAAATTGCAATTTTGTATACTCTACTGAATGGAATTCAGCTGATGGGTATATGGAAATACATCATATCAAGAAATTATTTGGGATGATACTTCCAGACCTTTTTTCGGTTCTCCTCACACGATCCAGTGGAAGGAAATGTGAACCCGTTGAAGAAAAAGAGGAGTCGAACGAGTGGATGGAGTCGTGTCTATAGTTGACGTGCTGCAGTATAACGTACAATCATTTGATGCTATAATATTCCTTTAAATAATGCAAAGATGTATATTATTTTCAATTTCATCAAAATCAGGATCAGAATAACGAAAGTCGCACGGCTGTTTGATAATTCCTTTAGAAATATGTTTTATTATGGATTCGCAGTTTCTAAATTCGAATAACTGCCAACTTTTCTTCTGGAGGCAATATAATATATGAATATCTGTTGGTTGATCGATATCTGAGCCATATTCCATATGTCTAAGAGGTGTTGCAAGAATGATCTACAAAAAAATCTTGATGACCGATATGCATAGAGTCCATTATAATGGAAACAACACAAAAGCAATATTTTGAGTGTCTTACAAAAAAAATAATTATTCGAATTACCTTATAGGTTCATAAACACATGCATATAATGAGATCTTGAGGGATAGGAAATTCTGAAATTCATTATACTCCGTTATAATAAATACTTACCCTCCTTGTCGGGTGCAATACAAATTGTTATCCATTTGATCACGTGCAGAATATTGTCGAGATACAAATTCATGAAATAGAAGCGATAGCTGTTTGTTGTTGAACTACACTTATAGTTCTGGCGCATGAAACATTCAATTCCTGCATGATTGACGTCACAAAAAATTAGACAAGGAGCGTCCATTATAAGACACATTAGGCACTAATGGGTTTGTGTTACAAAAATCTCGTGAAACAATATGATGTACACGAAAGGGGGCTAAAAATGAGTTGAAGAGATTGCGGACGCATTGAGAAGGCTGCCAAGAGATGCCTTCTATGTGCATTGAATGTCATGTGAGAACCCATTCCAACAATAATTAGATTAAGATATCTTCATGAGTTTTTTCACATTTTATACAATAAACCTTTTTGAGGCATTATTGTAACTATAGATTTCATAGTGAGCAGCACAAAAAAAATCACATACGTTCATTTGAGCGCCGCGAATTCAGATTTGAATGCATCGTCGCCCGTCGGTCGTTTTCGCATGACACGGCTCGAACTGAAACTTCTTCTTTCGGTTAAAAATCACTGCCAAGCACCGTCGGTCACATATGACAAATTTTCATTGTTATTTCCGTCGATCAATTGAACCCAACCATCTCACCTCCTGTCATCATACCACAGTCGATAGAGATGCAGGACTCAGATATAGAGGGATCATCATAATCAGTATCAGAAACAGATGAGGACGATGAGCTTCACCGAGAAATAAAGAAGATGATGATGATGATGACGAAGATGAAAATACTTCATTTGATCACATTACGTACACTGTATTACGTGAAGATGAGAAGGAAGAAGACACAGTCGCAGAATAAATGTCCAGTTGATTGACTTTAATAATTTCACAATTTCAATACCTATCATTTATATCAGTATCTTGTTCAAGTTCTGAGTTCATGTTTCTTTCAATAGAAATATTGAAACGTATTGAAATATAAAGTTCATTTATTATAATTCAGATGTATGTCATCAATGGTGGTATTGATCTCACGAATTTCCGTGATAAATGACCATGAATGACATAAATGACGGTCATATGACTGGTACTGGTACTGGTGGGGGACGTTTGCACGTCAGCAACTAGTCCCTAATGGGACCTCTTTGCAAACCCCAAAAGTTTTCAATGACTGGTGTGGTTCGCTCAAGAGAGCTGGCTATCATCCTTTTCAGGCATTGCCCATCAGCTCTCTTCCAGAGTTTTGTAGGCTAGTAATGTACTCACTACCATATGCGCAGTGGCAGGTCTGCTAACTATCCTCGTCAACCCCCGAGACCGAGGTCCACTAAGCAGCTGGCCCGCTCTCACGCTCAGCTGGTAGTTTTCCACACCCACCTACATACACCGTCCTACTTCTTCTCTGATGCTCACAACCACATCATCTCTTTCTGCGTGTTCTGTGTAGGCTTTGTTACTAACTCTATGCGCCACTTTAGGAGCAGCACTGTTAATTGGAACGCAACAGCGAATCGTGCAGGACTATCCCCAGCCGATGCTCCGAAACTTTACAATATTCAATTCGTAAATAAAATATTCCCCATCACTGGGGAAAGTAGAATGTAAAAGTTTGGCAAACCAATGTGCTACTGTGTTAGCGAAACATGTCATGTGTTCAAGAATTTCGCAGAAACCTTCGTGGAGTTTTTTACATTATTTTATTCTCTCAGTGATAACGCTAGTACCTGCATGCAGCGTTATCTGATAATATCTCATCAGCATGAGTCATTTCCTTTGACAATATAATTATTGCTTCTATTTCCAAATTTGAAGGAATATGTCAATTTGACCGAGAATGAAACAAAAAATTTAGCCAGTCCCCATACTCTGGCAGTTCTGGCAGCCATTGAACTGAACAAAACTTGCCGCGCCTTATTGCTCGAGTTGAAATTGATATCTACTCAAAAGTTCAAATGACATTTGAAGTCATAGAGAAAGTATAGTTTGTACAATCTTATTCCTATGTCCAGTTGTGAATAAAGTGGCATGCCCTAATATACCCCTCGTTCGATCAATAATTCATTGACAACACAGTGAATTATTCAAAGAATGACTCTGATATGTATGCAGATTACAGGTCTACCAATTACAGTCACTTATTCGCAATTAGGCGATGATCTAGTACTATTCGAAGCACAACATCAAAAGACCGAATGAATAATTCTTCAGTTTCTCTTTGAATATTTCATATAGAAAAGATTATTTGAAATGGAAAAAATCCACTGATCACGATCACGTTCGAACATACAGACATGAACGAAGTATTTCTCCATATTTTCGGGATTTTCTCTCCTGGCTACTAAAATATTGAACAAATTTTGAATTGCCGCCCAGATTCGGAATGCCTTCTTCATCGTCTTTCGAACCGTTCCTTACAGCTTCTTCTAAATTCATCAGGACCCGTGATACAGGGTGAAACAAAGTTTCGTGCATTTTGAAAAACATTTCTCCGCCCCCCCATTTTGTCGGAAGACCACAATGCTCATATTTTATTCAGGCATTTCATAAATAGCAACCATACCTCGGGACATTTTCGAGTTTTTGCCAAAAACTACTGTGGTTTCCAAAAAAAAATTTTTTGCATTTTTTTTTAATGGACTAATTTCAGAGGAGTACATTACTACCTGTATCCTCAAAACGATGAATCA